TTTTTTTTTTTTTTTTTCCTTTAAACGTGTGAGTCTTTCACTTAGCCTCAACACATTCGAAAGTTTGGGGGATTTTCAAATATGATATGTACATAGGAAATACGTTTATAGCATATCTATAGAGTGCATAATGTTATTTGACGCTACTGTTATAATACAGTGCGACATATGACGACCCTCCTTTAAGCGTGTGAGTCTTTCACTTAGACTCAACACATTCGAAAATTTAGAAAATTTTCAAATATAATATGTACATAGGAAATACGTTTATAGCATATCTATAGAGTGTATAATGTTATTTGACGCTATTGTTATAACACAGTGCGACATATGACGACCCTACTTTCAAATATAATTTTAACGATGCTAAGTCAAAATATTTACTTTTCAATTGTTTGTTTTAATGTTCTTCACCAAATAAATATGAATACTCTCTTTAAACAGATGAGTCGGTAGAATAATTTTATCAACAAACTCGTGAATTAGATCTCCAAAGATACATATTAAACTTCAAACGTTGAAATTAAAGAGTCGGTCACATGGTAACTATGTAGAAATTTTCTTCTCCGGAAAAAAATGACTACTTTGGGACTATTGCTGAAATTCACATTTAAATTTTTTAAGTCTCCACGCATAGTATTCTTTTAGTCCGAGCTATTTTTCCGCAGGACCTTTCTTACAGTATCGTCATCGCAGTAGAGTTTAACCACCAAATTCGGGATATCCTCTCCTTCTCACTTGTATTAAGATAAATTATTCTCTTGATTATTCTGAAAATACCCGTATATTCATTTTACTTCAGAAAACATATATACTACCACTTTTGTATTGGTTACAATATACCTCTTTTATAATAAACTTTATAAGTAGCTCATACTTATTATATAAACAATACAGTCAGTAGCCGAGTCCATTCTAAAAAATTAAATAACTTCATAATCTCGTATCTTTCTTTGGCTGAGATGGGTTCGGCTGGGAAAGGTTGTGTTATGCGTAAAAATTAATCGTGTATATTGGGTCTGTTATACGATATAAATTACTCATCTATATAGGGCATGCCCACTATGCGAAGGTATGAATTACTCCCGGTGGATATTAGAGCTATCTTGAGCCGAGCCCAAATTGTGAGAAGAAACAACCCAAAAAGCTACACCACCAATATGTGGTGATCTACATCTAAGTTGAACGCCGATCTGTTCATCATTATCTTATGTTGAAGATTGTCGATCTCTCTACAGTATGAACAAGAACCGACAAAGAAAACTAGTAAAACGAACGCCCAGTCGGTCCTATCATCAAAAGACGGGTTTTTGCGTTAGAGGCGTGTTACGCCGAATCTGAACATTTCAAGAGGAGCGGTACTTTCAAAACAATTTCAAATGCTAAAAATAAAAATAAAAAAAAAAACTAAGTACTACATTGAATTTTACAACTTAATACGCTCTTGAAAGAAAGTGAACGAAAACATATACGTTTTCTTCACCATATAGATATTAGGACAAAATCGCCTTTTTAACTCTAGAAATGACCAATTAATTTGACTTTTTATTTGTCGACTAGGAAGTAGACTAGGAAAATTGTTATCTATGACTAATCAAAAAAGTGATTTTATTTGCACAAAAAAAAAAGATTTGTCATAAAATACCCAACTAAAAACACTAATTCTAGTAATTTTCTTTTCAATGCATAGACACTTAATTACAAATTACTAACAATTTAACTAGGATTGTTATCGAATCGAACCGAACCGAGTTTAAGGTGTTCGAGCTCGCGCGAATTCGACTAATTTTCGAACATGTTCGTGTTCGTTCGTTTAGTAAACGAACAAAAGATTACCAATAGATTATGCATTAGTAGAAATTGCCTACAAATAGAAGGAAAAGGAAGAAAAAAAACAAGAAAATTATACCCTTTGATGGTTCGTCCGAGCATATATGTTTCATTTTAATTGCCTCTATCAGCCTCTTCTTCGTCTTAACTTCATTGTTTTTTGCAATTTAGTTTGAAGTGTGTTGATGTTCTGCCATTATTCTTTACTCTCCTCTTTACATTACATATTAACCTATTTGTTTGCTCGAGAGTTTGCTAAAATTATTGATTTATATTAATGGAGATGCTTGTTTAAGTCATAGTCAAAAGTTGCCTTGTCCTCCTCCACCACTTTTCAGTTTTTATTTGAGAATTGCGACTTTATTGATCATTGCATTTTTTAACATTATGTTTCTTTTCACATTGTTGACACTCGACTTTGCCCGATTAGTTTATTTTCACGTTGTCTCAGTAAAACTGTAGACAACATTTGTATACCAATGTCGCTAAACCAATTGATGTATGCATGATAGTGGTCGAATTACTCGCCCACCAAGATATTTGGTTAAATCACCTCGTCTCGAACGGTTTGAATATCATCTTGCAAAACAGTGTTAAGGTGGGCTCCCGTCATAGACACTCCGTTGCTTAAATCAAAATTCATATATTCGAATATATCATTAGGGATTCCTTATTTATAAGGGTTCAAATCTCCAAGCTAAGAAGTTTCGTTAGTCATAAAAGGAATGAAATCATCCATAATCGAGGAGTAGATACACTCAAATTCACTTATTGATTCCTGCAATCTTTCGATAACTACTCGAACGCGACGTCCATACGCACGTATCATCCAATATGCATCGCCCGCAGCTAGCACTTAGTCGCACGCCTTTCCAGCCCGACCTCAATGAAGTCCGCTGGTGCCTAAGGGAATCGCACAACCCCATGCCTTATCCATTATCGAGCCTACATGCGATCAATGGATCGCATGGGCCTAGACCTACAATGGTTATTATTTGGATAGAGAAAATTACCCCCCACAAACATTAGGACTATTTATATTTACACATTTATTATTTAAAATTTTTATTTTCAATTATACTAACATTCTTTAATAAACATTCTTTTCTTTCCTACGAGTAGCAGGGCATGTGAATCCTATTGAAGGTGTAGAATTGTGCGGAAACATGGGGCTCGAGACTGATTCAAACTAGTGGCCGCTGAATCGGCCTCTTGCCGCAGTCGATCGATAGTGAGGAGGATCCAGCAGCTTAGGGCTCCATGCGGAGACGGCGCAGCCGTTCGGGGTGGGGACAGGAAGCGTCCGACTCAATTATATGGTTAACTATGTCAGACTTTGGGAGAATTTCTTTCACATGTTTTGATTTATTTATGTTATGGAAGATTTTATATGCTTATTTGACGTTTATTAATAGTTTATATTTGATATAGGACCAAAATTGTTTTAGTCATGTCACAAAATCACGAGATCTGAAACTATGAAAAAATTCAACGTAGATTTAAAGAAGAAATAGTTCGTAAATTTCCAACAAAAATGTATTAATTATATGAAATTAAATTTTATTTTATAAGGCTCATATTTATGAAAAAAAAAACGTTTTAAAACTTGTAGTATATATGTAAATTAGATTTAGCCAATTAGAGAAGCCCCTGTATCCACCCCAAGTGTAATGTCATGTATAAAACTGTGCGAAAGCAGTAAAGAATAAAAGAGAAACGTATAAACCTAATGAGCTTCTTACCCATATTTCTTAGTTTAGACTGCGAATAACCAAGAGTCAAAATTTTCATTCAGAAAAATAACCTCAGATTTCAAGCACAAATACAGCTGTTACAGACAAAAACACAGTAAATAATATAGAACCACAAAAGAAAGGCAGTGTACAAACAAAAATTTAACAATAAACTTACATCCTTTTTCTTCCTTTTCTCGGCTTTGCGTTTCTTAAATCAGCCAGCTGCCAGTCCTTTAGTACTGATATAAAAATAGCACAACTTCATGCATTTTTACACTGAGCACATGGCCGCCACCAGTATCGCATTCTTGAAGTAAAAACGAAAAGGGGGGAAATGAAAAAAAAAAAATGATATAGAAGAAAATCCATGTAAGTATTGTCTAGCCAGAGATCGTGTCATCTCATATACTGACCCGAGCAGCAACTTCTTCAAGTTTCTTCCAGGCCAACTCATTTTGTTCTTTCTTTTCCCTGGCTTTAGCCACCTTCTCCTCGTGTTCCCTCTGACACTCTTCAAAAAGCTCGGTGTCCATCTCCAGGAACATTCTTCTAACGTTGGAGCTCAATCCTACAATCGCCTGATTCCAGTGACCGCGAATATTCTTGTCCAAGGCATCATATATGATTGGTAAAATGACGCTACGATTCTCTGCAATCAGGCTCACTATGCTCTCGTTGTTCCACAAGAAAAGAGCCCGTTCAGCAACCTGTAACGTAACAATCATAATAGAAAGAATTCTTCTCAATATAAAACATCAATAGATTTTTTTATAACGTAAATTTGCCTCACCAAAAAAGGATTGAGAAAAGAAAACTGAACAAACGCTCATATAAAGATACGGCACAATTGTTGTATCAAGTTTCTCACTAAATAATAATAATAAAGCAAAGAAGGCTGCATCTTAATGCAGTACCAAAACAGAGGAAACAGGCTTCTCAGAAACATTTTATTTGATTCCACGGATACCAGTTTGAAATTACAATTGAATTTGGAACAACAGCTACATTTAAGATACAAATATGATCACTCCTAAAGCTGGTTCAGATGCAAGATTATGATTGATATGATGATATCATTTGTCTAAGATTCACTGTAGGCTCAATCTGTATATTTCCTTCTTCCGCATTCAAAAAAATTATCCAGCTGTGACATGACAACTTTTAATCAGTTCACAATCTTCACAATTCTTTGACATTATTCATCAGTATATTAGTCCAACACAGGAATTCACCATTTACATACCTAATTCTTGCCCCTCTAGCAAACAACCAGCCATATTATATGTGATTCCTAAGAAATATATTACATTATTATTATTTCTAGTGACTAGCAACTCGGCATGCTCTCATGAATATAGATATCTTCTCTCTTATAAAGCTAAACAAATCACTCACTGTCTCACAACCTTCACTTCTTGCTGCATTCTGAGAAAAGCAATCCAAGTTATTTCATATTGTTTCATCCCCGTCTAGAATGTAATCACATTATCTTATACACAAAGGATGATGAAAAATAACAAATATATTATGAAGCTCTACAAGAAAAACATATCAAACAAAGGATTACATATAACTGGGAGAAAAAAAATTTAAAAAAAAAAAAGAAAAAAAAAATAAAAAAAATAAGCATTTCGAACACCTTAGTTCAATAAGTTAATATAAAGTTGAAATAAAGTCATTTCACTAACCTGGAAATGTGAGCTGTTGATGCAACGCCCAATTTGCCTAAACAGAGGAACTATGCAGCGCCTAAACTCTGCAGATTGTGTAACCTCAAGAACCTCTTCCAATTCTCCAAGGAAAAGAACCTCCTTCCCGCAGTTTGTTACTGGCCAATATTTCAGCAACCCCCTAATGACAATATCAGCCAACCTATAATCTTTTTCGACAAACTGCGTTATACAGTAGGAAAGCTGCTGATGGTATGACATAATACATTTAGGTTTGTGCAAAGGAATTAATGCCCTCGCAAGAAACAACTTGTGCTCTTCTTTCATCGGCAATGCAAATCCATTAATTATACTTCCAAGAATCTCCAATAACTCCCCGATTCCATTGTGCCTCTCGGTCTCAAATATAAATCGATAAAAGATGTTGTTTATTGCATTCCTTATAAAGGGTCGATGTACCATGAATCTTCCGTATATTCTGTGAAGAATTGTTTTCACATATTCCCGTTCCCTCATGTCCTCTGAGTCAAACAAATCAAGCAATTTCAGCACAAACGAGTGATCGAGATACTTTTTTGCGATCTTGGTGTCCGTCTCGGATGACACCACGTATTTCAAAAGCAACTCATACACAAGTTGCAAGTGGGGCCAAGAAGGATCCATGAACATTTCGTCCTCCTCAGGATCTCCACCCTCTGATCCAGTATTCTCATGCGGTGCAGGTGGCAAGCACCTGAAAATGTTCATAGATATCATCTTGACCAACTCCTCCTGCATTATATCGTTCATTCTGCAGGAACCTGACTGCACCAAATCAACAATCTCGGCCAGGGTTTGCCTCTTGATTTCCCTCTCTCGCACGCATTTCATCGGGTCAGAAAAATCAAAGAGGAAACAGCATATTTGGATTTTTCGGATGAATAAATTATGACGCTCAGATAATGGGACATCCTTCAGCATTGGCAGGACCTCAACTATACCAGGATTATGTGGAACCACGGAAAGAGTAACGGGAGATGGTGAAGGAACAGCTAGGCGTGATGCATGATTTACAGTTACGTTAGAAGTTGAGGAAGTGGGAATTGGAGGCTCAATTACTTCCGATTTTGAGGGCTTTCGAATCCCTCTTTTCATAAATTTGTTCAGCATGGTTACTCAATTACTCTCACCCAAATAAAAATGATGAACCCCAAAAATATAACGAGGAAACACACCACTATATTCCTCCAATTATACCCAATTCATACGAGTCATCTCTTCATCAATTGACTTCACAAGAGTTCCAATCAAAATCCATAGGCACTAAAGTTGAGAGCACTGCAATGTGACAAACTACGACAAGTTAACAGGTAACTACCCCAGTTCCACAGAACCATATCAGCATCACAGACTAGTAGAGAAAATAATCTGGTCGGTCTATAAAAAACAAAGCATAATAACAATACCTGAATGATGATACTGAGAAATTAAGACACCCAATTGGAAGTCCAGAACAATATCGCCATCAATGAGGTATTTTGCGCTTTGTTTTCGTGAAAAACGAAGATCCTTAAAGGAAGAGAAAAACGATTAGTTTTCTAGTTACGCCAAATTTTCCGGCGGTGATCGGCTCTCCTGCAAACTCCGGCAAAATCTGCCAAATCGCGCTTTGATCAACCTCCTAGTCTAGCGGAAAATTACATTCAAATCTGGGAAAGGAAACAGAGGAAGAGAGACATTGGGGGCTACTAGAGGGCTAAAGAATGTAGAGAAGAAGAGAACAAGGATATGCCGGAATTGCTACCGCCGATGAGGAAGAGAGGAGAGAGGATTAGTTAGGGCTGATATGTGAACAAAATGGGAAAGAGATCGTATTTATTTGAAAGCAGATATATGGTGTTTCGCACGCCATATAATCTATTTAATTCTATTTATATCATTTTCCTCTCGACTTAGAGATTTTAATTAATGTAGCCATTTTTAGGCAGAAGTGATTGGATATAAGTCAAATTTTATTTGATTGAATATGCTGGATAAATAGAGTTAATTTTAGGTGTGATTGGATATAACGTGAAAAAANAAAAAAAAAAAAAAAAAAAAAAAATCACAAACGTCAATATTATCAATATAATTAGATGATACTAATCAATTAGTTTTTCACATTACATTAATTTTATTTCACTATTTATCTGCTCACATAATTTAAACTACATCTCACTTTCAACCACTTTTATTATACGTGTACATCGAATCAACTCTAACAATTTAATTTAAATATTTTAAAATTCCACTCAAACTTAATTCAGCTATTTTTTCAAAATGAACTATGGTTAAAGAAACAATCAAATCAAATTCATACTCAGTCATATCTTTTGTAAAAGTTGATTATTTTTCATCGTTTTTTTTTCATACTTACTTTTGTTTCGAAAGTTGATTTTTATGATGAAATATGTTTTCCACATTAAATGTGTTGTCGCGCGTATAGGTATGGTTGTCCGAACAGTTTCATATGAAGGGTTTAGGAGAAGCGAAACGCATTCTCAGAATCAAGGTAATTTGGCACCGCGAGAAGAGAATTGTGTGCTTGTCCCAATCTACGTACATAGGAATTGTCTTGGCAGTTATTCATATTGTAGGCATACAATACAAATAATATTAACTATGCAGTCTCATCGTGCAAATGGTTGGCTACACGGTACGAATGAGAGTTCCGGCATTTCTGGCAGCTAGGTGGTCAGAGCCGAGGTTAGTCTTCTCCCCCCTGCTTTCACGTCTCCCTAGTGTTGGGTGGTGGGTCTTGCTGGTGGTTGCGGGTTTTGGTAATGGTCAGTTGTCAGCTTGTGGTTGTCGTTTGGTGTGGGGGTTGGAGTTTGGAGTTGGCTTCCGATTTCTCTTCCGAGGTAGTCTACTTGGGGAGGAATCTAGTTTGTGGGTTCAGATCTAGTTAGGCGTAGTATTGTTGCAGTTTTTGAATTGCGTCTCGGGTCGTGTCTCCGTCCGTGTAGGTGGTTGCCCTCGTGAGTCGGTGTGGTGGTTTTTGTTTGCGGAGTAGCTTATGGACTATTGGGGTTGTTTTGTAGTTTGTTTTTGTGTTGTTTTGTAAGTGTGTGTTTGTCGTGTTTTGTATTCTCCCATTATGGAGTGTGTATTCTCCATTCGTGTAAACTTCAATTTTTTTATGTGTTCTCAGTTTTGTTGTGTTGTGGTATTTAGGCTACATTAGGTAGTCCTCCAATCTGGCAAGTTAGCCGCTTATAATTGTGTGTTTTTATCTACAATTTCTATCTTTCCAAAAAAACAAATCTACCTATATATATACCAATTAAATCTCAAGAAAGTATTTGTGATACTTGAAACCTGAAGGAGATATTTTCCAAAAAAAAATTCCCCACGCTTTAAACAGCAGAAATAACAACACAAACATATAACCACGGCACAAATCATAATATAGTTGCATCAACAAAATAGTCTTACATAAATTTAAAGGGTTAGGATGTTCATGCAAAGTTTTTTCGGTTAGGCGCCAGCCTAAAACTGCAAAATAACAGAGTTTATCATTCCAACATTCATAATAATAACCATACTAAATAAATAACAGTGCTACCATATGCCGACATAACCAAAGAAAGACGGCATATTCCAGCTCTAGGCCACCAGCTACAGCTGCAGCTGCAGAAAGAAGGATAATTGAAATTTCTCCTTCACACTTATGATCAGTTTTCATATCAAACAATGAGATATTATATATAGGGAAAATTATGAAGGTAAAAACTCGTAACAGTTGTATACAGGTAAAAAGGACAATATATAGGGGAAATTATAAAAAAAAACACTACCCTTCATGTTCAACTTAATAGAACCTCTCCCAGGTAAAAGCACAATTTTTGTAAAATCAAACATGTATCCAGGAGATTATTTAAAATAAAAGATTTTGGAATTTTCTATAAATAAAGGGGAGCCTAAAGTGTATTGTTTTCAATGAGCAACAAACGGCGTTCCAGTGATTAAAATAGCGCGCGGCGAGCCGAGGCGACAAGGCTCCGATTCGCCATGGCGTGAGGCGCGCGGCGAGGCGCCCGCCTTATGAAAGCGAGGCGAGCCATATATAAAAAAATTAAAATATATGTACATTTGACATTTTACCAAATTATGACACAATTATATATATAAAAATAAATTATAATAGCTAATAAATATACAATAAAACACCACACATTAAAATAAAAACAACATTAAACAAACTACAAATAAAAATATCATAAACCCACATGATTCCAATTAAAATAAACATCAACCCACCCCCACAATCCCACTAAGTTTCAATTAAAATAATAATATAATGTCTATGGTTCATTAAAAAAACAAGTTAATGGTCCACATTCATAAACAAACAAAATAAATAATAAAAAATAGAAAAAACAATGTTAAAAGCCCAGATCCACTGTTAGCTTTTCATCATTTTTCATCTCGGCTGACTGAAACAAGAAAGGAAAAAGAAAAAGACAAAAAGGAAAATCTGGAACAGATACCGCTCCACGTCGCCGTCGCCGGTCAGCTGCCGGAATATGGTCGCCGTCGCCGGTGGAACAAAAAGCACAAGGTAATTTTGTAGTTTGGCAAGTAAATTTTGTTAATTGATAAGTCCCTCGGTATAAAAAACTTGTATCTCGCCTCAATTTCATAAGGCGTCGCCTTGTGCTACGCTAAGCTACATCTGAGGCGACGCCATGGCGTCGCCTTTCACAAGGCCGCCTCGCCTCAAGGGTATAAGGCGTCGAAGGCCCGCCTCGCCTCGCCTCGCGCCATGGCGACGCCATGGCGCGCTATTTTAATCACTGCGGCGTTCAAACCTAGAAGGGATGATCATGGTTCTCATACACCGTAAACAAACTCGCTAAAACTAACAGAAAATTGGAACACTTATCAGCAAGATACAGAAAATGTCAATCTTTTTAGGAAAACACTTGAAATAATTTATCTGTTAGATAGTAATACCAAAGAAAACCATTTCCAGGAAAACAAAAACAGAAAAAACAACTATTGGGAAAAAAAAAAAAAATGCAATGTATAAATTACCTCCACGAGTCCTCACCACCCTCCATTGCCACCACCACTACTACCACCCCAGGAGCTCTTTGCCGCACTACCCCACCCATCAGATGTCCCTTCCTCCTTCCCTTTACCTTCATCACTACCTTCAGATTTCTTCCATCCCCCAGAGGAGCTCCCCCCATCTCCCGCCACACCCCACGTGCTTGAAGTTGCTTTTCCCCAAGAATCACCTTCACCAGCAGACCCTTTGGGTCTTTCAACATCCATAGCAACAGCCTTTACCGTATTCCAGTTCGACTGATTACTATTCCACCCACCACCTGCTTCTCCTGAACCAGCCGAAGCTCCTTTCCCAGAACCACCAGATGCTCCCCAGCCACCACCTGTTTCTCCTGAACCAGCCGGAGCTACTTTCCCAGAACCACCAGATGCTCCCCAGCCACCACCTGTTTCTCCTGAACCAGCCGAAGCTACTTTCCCAGAACCACCACCAGATACTCCCCAGCCACCACCTGTTTCTCCTGAACCAGCAGGAGCTACATTCCCAGAACCACCACCAGATGCTCCCCAGCCACCACCAGCTCCAGTCTCATTTTGACGAGTATCTTTGTTAGAATCATTCCAGCTCGAGCCGCTCTTCCAACTGCTCGGTTGGCCCCAGCTCTCGGATGCATTTTTATCATTCTCCTTATTGCTCCAACTACTTCCTCCATTGAACCCACCACTTTTCCATCCCCCCTGGCTATCATTGTTTGAATCTTTGCCCCAGTTGTAGGATTTATCACCATTTGAGTCATCTCCTCTGTTATTCCAGTCCCCACGTCCTCTTCCTCTGAAACCACCCCTCCCACGAAAACCACCACCCCTTTCGGACCCATCCCTTCCACCAAAGCGTCCTCTGCCGCCACCTCTGCCCTGGAAGCCACCACGATCGCCACCTCTGCCCTGGAAGCCACCACGATCGCCGCCTCTCCCGCCCCGGCCTCCTCTCCAACCGCCACCTCGTCCGCCGTCCCCACTGAAGGTGTTATTTTGATTGTCCGAGTTCCAGTTGCCTCTGCTGCTCCAGGTGGAGTCCTGGTTGTTTTCGCCACCACTTGTGTTTGTTTCGTTTTTCGACCAGTTGCTCTCGCCCCATCCAGCTGATGAACCACCACTATTCTTCCATGAGCTACCCGACACGTCTTTCCCATAGCGTGAGGAGTCCCAATCAGATGAGTTGTTATCTTCATTTGGCTTCTTCTTTCCCCAACTACCCGTGCCAGCTTCCTCTTCATTTCCTTTCTGGCTAGCCCAGTTACCTTTGTTGCCCCAACCAGAAGTTTGGTTCTCGCCCGACGAATTGGTCATGGTGTTTCCCCAGGAAGACTGGTTATTTTCAGCTGGCTTCATTTCTTTGCCCCAAGAACTAGCTGCACCAGATTCATCATTTGCTTTCGATGTTTTACCCCAAGCACTTGTGTTACCACCAGAATTGTTATTTTGACTTGCACTACCCCATCCACTCCCACTTCCGCCATCCTTATTTTCCTCGCCCTTGTTGGAAGCATCTGCTTTACCCCAACTATCGAATTTATTACCAACTTCATCGGAAGCAGTACTGCCCCAAGCAACTGCTTGACGACTACTCCAACTTGAGTTCTTTCCTGCATCATCACTTTGAGGTTCATGGTTCCAGCCAGATGATTGGTCCCGATTGAACGAACTCCCCCTACCATAACTATCCCCCCGTCCTCCCCTTCCCCGGCCTCTACCCCTCCTTCCACCTGAACCACGACCTCCATCAAACGGTTTTGATCTCCCCCAGCTATTATTATTCCCTTCATCTTTCTCATCTCTGTTTCCCATCCCACCATTCTTCCACCCACCAAATCCTTCATCTCCTCCAGAGCCAGCTTTGTCCCCTTCATTTTGCTGACCACCCCAAGAGGACTTATCAGCTGATTTACCCCACGAGGATTCACCTTTCCAGGATGATCCACCATCTGGCTTATTACCCCACGACGATCCACCATCTTGCTTGCCCCATGAGGATGTGCCCTCTGGTTTTCCCCATGTAGATTTTCCAGTTGCATCTTCATTTGCCATCCCAGCACCCCAGCTTTTAGTTTGATTGTCTGGATTATCAGCAGTCTTTGACCAACCACCTGTTTCCACGTCCACTTGGGGCGTGGCACCACGTGCACTGGCTCCCCATGCACCGCTCTCACTTCCGCCAGAGTTTACTTTAGCGCCCCAAGTGGATCCACCCTTTCCCCAATCGTCTGAACCACCACCCTTATCGACATTGCTTTTGTTTCCCCATTGGCCTTCACTTCCAGCAGCAGTTTCATTCCAGGTTTTTTGTTTAGATTTGTCCAGTGCATCAGAGTCCTTCCAGGCACTTGTATCTGGTTGGCTCGGACCACCAGCATTACCCCAACCACCAGTCTCTTCACCTGACGAAACTCCAGATTGGCCCCAGGCTGGTTTGCTTCCCCCCCAAGTCACGTTTTCAGTGCTCGGTTTCTTGGCAACCGCACCCCAAGAATCATCTTTGGGAGCCTCAACCGGACTATCATTCTGAAGCTGAGCAGGTTTTTTACCCCATCCATCAAGCAAACTGGTCTCAGAAATTGGCTTTGTACTGGCTGCAGCTGCACCCCATGATGAATTGTCATCTGGGGTCGCTTTAATTTGCCAAGAAGAATCCTCTGCGCCTGCATCAGACTCATCGCTAGTAAGGTACAAACATTGACATGCAGTAACAATGCAAAGGAAAAAACCTTGAGTAGAGAAAATTAGAGAGAGAAAACTAATATGCACTTTCTACAAAATAAAAAATTAGGACCCAATGCAATGAGCTAGAGCATTTGCTCAACTAAAGTAAAGACTATCCTGGCTAGCTTGCAGTAAATAAAAATAACGATAATAGCAGCAGTAATAATGGTCTGAGTGAGATTTATATTTCGCATCCGTATGTTGGATGCATTGCTTCGAAAGAGGCCGGATGCTTCTATGTTACTTCCCTACGACCACTTCATAATCGCATTTCGGACTCATTTAGTAGAACCAAACTAGCATTAAGTTGATCGTAGACGTATCACAGTACCTTCTTTAGTGTTATCATTCAAAGGATCCCCGGAACCAGATCCGCCAGGAAGCTTGAAAAATGAAAAAGTAAAAGTTAGTTATCAGTATACTCATTCAGATGGACAAGAAAAGCACAAGCTCTGTACATGAAAAAATATGAAATGCTAAACTAACCGAGATATTTGATGAAGTTAAAGCCGACCAAGAAGACCTGCAAAGAGAGAATGTAATTACTACTGTGGAAGATAGAGTGTAATGCCTTGGGGGAAATCTTAATTCCTAGGTCTCAGAAAACAAAAAAATAACCACAAAAGGTATACCTAGAGCAGTTGTTTGTTAAGAGATTTCGACAAGTCTCATAAAAAATTTAAACTGGGCAATGTTCCAAAGTGGTTTTAACATTTTCTCCTTCAAGTTTTCAAGTTCCACTTTCATTAGTACCCTCTCAATTACAATTCTGCAAAATGTCAGAAACTTATTAGCAAAATACTCTTCCTAAGTAACTTTATCCAAAATGTAGGTACAATCATTTCTTGAATACAACATGTGATCATTTTCCTCTTATCGGTGTAAACTGTTGATCCATAATGATCTTAACTAGCATATAACACAGTATTTTGTGTCACGCTCAATGATCAATTCAAAA